AGGAAATTGGTTAAGTTAGTTATTTGTAATAAGTAGGTGTTGTCTTTCCTAAAATATCCTTGCTAATCAAGGTTGGTTAGAATTACTATTATTATAAGGACTACTTGGGAAAAAATGATAAATATGAGAGACAAAGTGGATTGGGGTCTTATTCTAGGATTAAAATAAAAGTCAAACGAGTTCTTATATTAAGGATCGGGGGTAGTTATTTACATTATTGAGCAGTTCTGTGAAAGCTAGCTGCCATAAACGTTGAAACAGTAGATAATTGATTTGAAGTTGGATGGCTTAAGAGGTTTTTTGTCTTGGTACCTTTTTTCCCATTAGGATTGATGGTGAGCTATGTTGATTTCTTTTTCACACCAATGCTACATGCAAAATTTGTTCAATCCGAAATGACCTATATTTTTCACTTTGGATGGTCAACTGGTTTATTTTTTATGCATTTCTTTGTTGACCATTTATTTCCATGTCTTGGTTTCTAGGAGTTTACTTTACTATGCTTTTGCTTCGTTTCCGGTGTACTTGATGTCGTCTACTCTTTATCTGTTCTGTGATTGCTCAAGGGCAGAGCAAGTTTGAGGCCTGCCTTTTTTTCATTTGATAAAAATTTCATTTGTGTTTTGTATTTCTCGCAATAACTTTTCTGAACATCTACAGGCATGTGTTGAGTTCAATCGTGGTCGCTATTCTGATTCACTTGAGTTGTACAGGGTTTGTAATATAGCCATATTCTTTGATGCTTGTAAGCAACGTTTTTCTGTTTGATGAGGTATTAAATACATTGTTGTTATCTGTTTCTGCATTACTTCATCAATGTCATCTTTTATATAGCATCACTAAAGATATCAAAAGAGCTGTGGTTGGTGTGTGCAAATTTGAGACGTGAAGGTTGATGGATCAGAGAAATAATAGGAAGTAATGGGCACTTTAACTGAGTAGAGAGGTTTTTCCAAGATGGGTTTTCAGAAATTGAATTATGTGAAAATAAATAATGGGTTTAAAAACGTTTCATCACTGTCATCTTGGCCCATTCTTTTTTTTCTTCTGTGACATTCTATAAACATGACTTTTGATAGCAGTTTTAATTTTGTTAGAGGGCATTGCAAGTGTATCCCAATTGCCCTGCTGCTGTGAGACTTGGCATAGGTCTATGTCGGTACAAATTAGGTCAATTTGAAAAAGCACAACAGGCTTTTTGAACGTGTTTTGCAGGTAAGTGAATTTTATCAATGGCTAATGCATCATCAATTGAGTAATTTTGCTAGTGCTAATGTCTTTATGTTTTGTTCTTGGTTTTTCCATATTTTACCAGTTAGATCCTGAAAATGTTGAAGCTCTTGTTGCACTCGCGATAATGGATCTGCGCACTAATGAAGGTACACTCTCCCTTCCTATCATGTTGTTTTGTGCTTTCACTATATAGTCCCTCTAGTCTTACTAAGGCCCTTTAGTTTGATCCTACATATAGGACCAATTTTTTTTAGTAGTAATACCCCTATTTAATTTATTTCAAATTGCTTTAGAAAATAAAGTGTACCCACTTTTAGGAAGGGTAGGGTACCCTTGGAAAGACACTGGAATATATATTTTTTTTTAAAATTAAGGTTGTCAACTAATTTTAACTTCTCACCTTAATTCATGTGATTTGGTTAAGGGGGTCCTATATCAAGGACTGAAGGAAGTACCTTCTGATACTAACTTCTCACTTACCGGCTGATTGAACTCTATGGCATCTTTCAGCTGCTGGAATTAGGAAGGAATGGTAAAAATGCAGAGAGCATTTGAGATCTATCCCTACTGTGCAATGGCTCTGAATTATCTAGCCAACCATTTTTTCTTCACTGGTCAACATTTTTTAGTTGAGCAACTGACAGAAACTGCACTAGCTAGCCGTTACAAATCATGGTCCAACGAAGTCCATTCTTATTACAATTTAGCACGATCTTACCATAGCAAGGTTGGAAATCAAATCTTTTTCCCTGTTCAATTCTTTTTTTGAGAGCTGACGCTTCGATTTTGCTGTTGGCTAAATATTGATGAGGTTTGAGGTAATGTTTATTTCTGCTTGATTTCTTATTGCAAGCAATGCCCTGGTCCATCTGTTTGTGCAGAGCATCAAAAAAATACATTCTTAGCACAATTTGAGCTACAACATATTGTTTATTTTTTCTTAGGTTGGGGTGAGATGTGCATCGCTTCTTGAGTAGTTAGTGGCTCAATTGCCCTCACAAGCAAATGAGCCAGGTTGAAGAAGTTGAACAAGTTACACCATTCTTGTGGTCTTCTTGCCTGTTATCAAATTTTTGAAATTTGCTTATTAAGAAGTTATAGTGAGCAATTGTTAAGGACTCTGACTTATTGATAGACCATCTGAATTCTGTTTTGGTAGACATTGATCTGCACTTATGTAACCTGCTGTTCCAACTTCTATTTAGTGAAACAGATGCGTTAGGATGGCATATATGCAATGAAATTCAGAAAAACAAAATTCAACTTATTATTGATTAGTTCCCTATCTCAATTTCTTTTCTTTTCCTATTGGTTTTTGAACTTCTAAGCGGAGTGAGCCCCCTTTCCCTCCTCAAACATTAATTATCTTCTTTGGTACTTCATTAGCTTCCTAGTTCCTCCTTTTTGGGTAGTACTAAAATTCAGATGTTCACCTGCCCCTCATATTTTCTGTGATTTTCAAGCTTTAGTATTGCTAATGACACTGATATCTTTGGACTATAGGGACTATGAGAAAGCTGGACTTTATTACATGGCATCTGTCAAGGAAGTCAACAAGCCCCATGAATTTGTGTTTCCTTACTATGGTCATTCGCACAGGCTTATTTGAGAATTTATAGTTTATTTAACGTTATTTTATGCCTTCATTATGATTAAAAGTTTACTTAGCATACCTAGGAATAGGATTCCAACACCATTGAACTCGTAAATATCTATTGCTTTTATCTAAAAGGAAGTACAGGATCAATTGCTTTTTTTCCTCTAGGTTGAGGCAATTTTGTTTTGACTTTAAAATATGACCTAGGGTTGTAAAATTGAATGTTATATGGAATTTAGGAGGTAAGGGTATTCAAGGAATATAATTAGGGGGAATTAAGATATCTAACTCGCATGGTTTGCCAATGCCTTACACAATGTCCTTGCCAATGAAGAGATAAAATATGTGAGGATTTGAAAAAGAGTGGATGAACATAATAGCGGAGACAGTGTTAGATGTAGTGATTGAGGACATGGAGAAGGGGCGCAAATAACCAAGTGAGGACATAAATTTGCTTCACAGGGCTCTTGTGACCGAGGAATGGAACTAAGGATTGTTGCACAATGCATTTTTATTTTATGGCTTAGGTAGTTTTGTCAAAAGGGATCTGTTAAAACACCTTTAGCAAAACAAAGTCCAAAAATCAAATGACTGTTTACTACTAGTTTGTTACTAGGGCTTCAAATAAAAGACATCTCCAACAAGGAGTTTGTGATGCCAAAACATCAGGTGAGAAGATTTTTTTAGCATGTCGTGAATGTCTCTACTTGCTTGTTCTGCTTTGTAGAATCAAAAGGTTTGGGAAGACTGTACTTGGTTTGGACAGTCAAAAGACATTAACATCTGTTACTTAATGGGCTTCCTATGGAGGACCAAAAATGCTCATACCTTATTGCTATTTTGTTCCCTCAACGTGCAATGTGGTGAGTTTGGAATTGGAAGGGACAATTGTGATGGGAGGTGTCCAGGTTGGGGCAAGTATAATGATACGAAATGGGTGTTTTGTGGATTGTCAGGGGGCTTAAAACACTATTGTTATGTTATCATTTGTGGACAAGATATCTTTCTATGTAGTTTCAGGGAATAGCATGGTTCTTCTTGTTTTTGGGCTTGACCAGGACTTGAAGATGGGCTTATGGGTCAAACTCTTTGAAAATTCTAGACTGTCTCACATGTTGGTTTTGTGCAATGTGGATTCTGTGCTGCACAACAATTCAAAAGAGCGGCTGCAACGCTCTACGAGTCCAGAACCATATATGGACTTGGAGGTTACTTGGCCTAATAGTCCAAGACATCGTCATATTTAGTGGAGAAAGTCCTAGGTTGTTATCAAATATGTTAATATTAATAGAACTGAAAACTTTACCTTTTTTACAATAGCGAAAGGAGGGGATGTGTCTCCTCCCTTGGTCTCTGGAAAGGAGACAGAAGAGAAGAAAATGACCTTTGCACAAGTTCTTTTTGGGGGCTTAGCATCTTTTGATAGTTAATCCAATATCTAGTAAGAAAGGTCAAGTCTGCTGAACGAAGCAAGGAAACATTATTGTTTTCAGAATTTTGTGTTATCCTCGTGCCTTTGTATTGATCCTTGAGGACAAAGATCAATTTTCAAGGGAGAGTAATTTGGTATGGGAATCTAGGAAGTAAAGCTGTTTAGGGAATTTTAATCAGGGTAATTAGGATATTCGACCACAAACTCTATGCTATAAGAAGGGGTGTGGCATGTGTTAACAGTGGGAAATTGAATTAGTGTTATGGTTTATTGGATCTTTGAGATTTTTGCCATGGATCACAAAATTTATCATTTCTAAGTAGTGAATCCAGTGATTGTCTTGCATGATGTGACTAGGCCGTTTACTAGAATCTTGATTACTTTTAGGTGGCCTGATGTTATTAGTTATGTCTTATGTTCTTTTCATGATATGTATTCTTAATAGCATCTCAATATACTTTCATAGGGTGATAGAATCTCTTTTTACTGGCAAGGCAAAAGATTCAAGCAAAAGGGAAGTTGCTTTTTAGTAACCAGGATGTTGACCATACTATTTTGGAGAAAGAGCAGAAAGCTAGTATTATTTAGGATGTTTCAGACCTACATGTAGTCAAAAGGGTATTTTGGGTACTGTGTGCATCACTTTTGATTTATACTGGGCCGTTGGTTTATCTGAGGGAGGCAAGAATCATTTTGTAAACTTGAGTTTGGTGAGGAGAGTGCTGGCCTCTCAAATCCTAGGTTAGGGTGGAGGAAGAGAGTTGTTCTTCATCATTTATCTTTATGTTTTAGAGAGCTTCCTTACTGTTGTGACTTCTTTCCCTTCTTGAGGGAGATTATTGTTATTTAATAGGGTTTCATGTTGTTTTTCAACTGTTTTATCTTGGTCCATATCATCGGGTGATTTATGTTCCTCTCCTAACTTTTTGTCCTAATTTCTTTTACTTCGTTGCAGGGTTGGGACAAGTGCAACTAAAATTGGGAGATTTTAGAAGTGCGCTTTCAAATTTTGAAAAGGTTTTGGAGGTGTACCCGGTATTGTGAGACATTAAAAGTAAGTGCTCAGATTTCTGAATTCTTGGTGTAATTTTAAGTGGAAGATAGGAAAATAAATGTTTATTTTGTGCATGACTTGCAAGGTTAGATTACAGCAAATGACAATCCGTAAAGTCATTAAGTGTCCAACTAGTCTGGTCATCACCTGCCATGTGGTCACTGGAAATTTTGTGGTGATGAGGTCATGTAAAACCTTTGTGCATGCAAATACTAAACTTTTAATTGGAATTTCTGTTTGCTGAAAATGATCTGTAAAACTCTGCAATCGGTGAATCTTTCACCCATGATTTGTACATTAGGGTACTGATGGTTTAGCAAAAGAGATTGATGATTATACTGTAATTTGTTATGTCTCAAGCAAAATCTGTCAGAAGTACAAGCTTCCCCCTCCCTCTCAAGAAAGTTTATTCAATTGGATAGAGAAAAGTACATAAAAGGGGGCACAAAATCCTCTAGTATCAAAAGATAAAAGACAATGGAAAATTACAGGGTATGTAACTAGACGAGCTTTCCAAGTTCTTTGCAAATCCAAGGGACACTGCCTAGAAAGCGCATTCACTTAGCCCCACAATGAAGCCATAAAGGCAATCTATTTCCGAAGAAAATGGGAAGGAAGACACTTCTGGTTAAAGATGCACATTCTGCTATAACCAAATGCCCCACCCTGTCCCCCTCAGAAATTTTCCCTTATTGCTGCTAAGAAATTACTGTCATTTTTTTAACTTAACTATTACGTCACATTTCTTATTGAGCAGGACCTTTTGTCTAATAATTTATACAAAAATTTGGTTGTTGATAAAATGTAATGGCATCATGTAATCCTTATAGTTGACTCTGCCTATTGGGATAAGGCTAATTCTTCTTGTTGTCAAACTATTATGTCACATTTCTTATTTTCGTAATTTCTCTTTTCTTACAGTCAGTGGGGCATATATATGTTCAGCTTGGCCAGGCCGATAAGGGCCAGGAATTTTTGAGGAAAGCTACAAAAATAGATCCACGTGATGCTCAGGTGAAAATCTATGGTGTTAACATTTTTTTTTAATTTTTAATTTTTAATACAACTTTCCTTGCAAAGATTTAATTTAAAATTCCTGTTGATCTTCCACCTTCTGTCACATGCATGGCCTTCTTGAAGCGCTGCCTTTGTGCTAAAGGATGTCTTGAAGGTTTCTACTTGTCATGCCATTTGCTTGACCACATGAGGATATAGAATTAATAATCTATTATTTTAACTTCTATTTTAACCTTCTCCTTTCCGTCATTAACTATTAAGTGACCTTATGACCTTTAATTGAATATAATCACAACAGCATAGTTGCCCAAAAGTGTCCTATCTTCTAAATCTAGCAATATTTGGCACATGGTCTGATGAAGTTACTAGTGTTGATGCACATTCTTGTCCTAATCATGTCTTCGTGTCATAAAGTTTTTAGAAAATTTG